TTCGCCAGCCACCAAAAAAACTTCGCGAAGTACACACAGAAAAAAACAAGTACCCATAGAAAATACAAAGTACCCATAGAAAATACAAAGTGCCCATAGAAAATACAAAGTGCCCATAGAAAATACAAAGTGCCCATAGAAAATACAAAGTACCCATAGAAAATACAAAGTGCCCATAGAAAATACAAAGTACCCATAGAAAATACAAAGTACCCATAGAAAATACAAAGTACCCATAGAAAATACAAAGTGGAATAAAAAATGCTAAGTGTACCTATGGGCCTTCGTAACAGTTAAGTCATGTATAGCTTTTAAGTATGTATGGTTTTATAGAGTGTGTAGTTCCAATATTTTACACAACTGACAAACTAGATTTTCATCATCATTGCAATGATTTTCATATAAAATTTCAAAGAACAATTATTATAGAAGTGGCCATGGGTATAATTCACTGGCTCGGCGATCAAAAGAACAAGTAAAACCCAACAAAACTGGCTTGATATATATCTTATGTACTGTAGTATAAAGACTAAAGTGTACTGTAGGAATTAGTTCTTCATATCATTGTATATCATTTTGTATGATATACGTATTTACAATTAGCCTTCTGTCATGTATTTGTAATAATAATAAACTTATCATCATTATTATTTCAGCCTACGTCCTGTTTCCTATTTACAAAAATGTAATAAGGTAGTGAGATGAGCGCAGCAAAGTCCTTTGTAACTAAAGCTGTTAAAAAAGACTTACTTGCAGTCTGCAGAGGATGTCATTGATTAAAGTTACATGCTGTGGCCTAATTGCAAACATGGTAAGAGTGCGTGCTGAGTGAATCATTGGTACTGTGGTATGTAACTATTTATATATCTTAGTATCTCCTATACATGGCACTACAAGACTAGTCTATGGTAATGATCTTTGAGTGGCATACGGGTAGATTTTAAACTTGGCCTTACAACGGCAAAAACATTCCCCAGTTATAACGTTGATGTTACTCTATAAACAGCACATAAAAGTCAGTAATATAAGCAAACTATCCTTCTACCTTTCCTTTCCTTTCCTAATAAAGGTATAACGTTAAATCGTAGGCAAGACCATCCTGAGGTAAACATATTGCATTTGCTTGCAAATGTTACCTTTCTAGTTCATATTACCTTACATTTCCGGATTCAAGCAGCTAACTACTAGTACTATATCACCCTCATCCGCCCTAACTACAAGTACTATATTGTACATGCTAGCCTCCGTAGCAGGCTTATAGAACTGGGGGTTTGGTGGTCTTCGGCTGTTTATGTCTATATGCAATCAGAAAATAGCACCGAAAAGCTCCCAAGGACCCTGAAGACCCCCCAAACCCCCAGTTTTTGGCATGCTATAGAGGCTATAGTACTATATCGTTGTAATGTTTCAGTACTTGGTATCAAATTAAGAAACTGTGCAAAATATCTTACGCCTCCATAAAGAACAGGCGGGTTGAAGAGTGTCACAGATGAATAGCACAGTTCTTTGGTCACAACCATTTATTTTTCACGAGCCGACGTTTCGATGACCGTCTGTCATCTTCATCAGGGCAGTTTATTCATTCGTTTACCAACCTGATGTGTGACAGATGTTTTCATGTGATGTATTTCATATGTCTTATGTTTAGAGGACGGGACTCGAACATCGTTGCCCATATATGGCGTGCGGTCGCTACAGTGAGCACTATGCCAACTCCGTCCGCCTGGCGGCGCTTCTGATCAAGAAAGGGACGCCGACTCTCCTTTCTTACTTGTTGGACAACTTACCAAGGTACGTCCTCTAATTGCATGCATACGTATTCAAGTCTTAACACGTTTTTGTCCAGGGAGGGGGCCACTAAAAACGGGCAAAATGTCACAAAACAATGTGTAAAACGAACCTTCCCAGTGAACAAAGATTTATATTTTTAATATTGAATGAATTGGTCTAGAAGATTTGGCTTTGCTTGTCCTCCCACTATTGTTATTATCATGATTTAACTATCATTGTTGTTCATTAACACGGTACACTTTGTGCAAATTAATCTTATGTCATTTGTATCGTGGGCTCCCTTGGAAATCAGCCCAATTCAGCAGAAGGCGACAAGCAATTTGTATTCAAGGTTGATAAATAAACAGACCTGATCCTAGATCTACATCTGCAATTAGAGATTAAGACGATTGTCTTCAGTTTTATCAACTTTGTATAAATTGTTGTATGTATAGTTCATGTTTTTATGTGTGTACGCCTAGGCATCATACCAAAAATAAAGAAATTCAATTACTGGTAAAACAACTGACAGACCAGGTCTACAGGTGTCCGGGTGAGCAGTGAGCAGGTAAAACAAAAAATGAAATAAAATTCAATTTCTTTCTCAACTCCTCTCGCCCTTAGGTGTGATGATTACGACAACCCCTGCCTGCCATGCACACACGAGTTCAGAACTCACCACCTGAGACACGTGCTGCAGCTGTACAGCCCTCTGCTCAAGCACCTGCGCTTCGGTACAGGTCAGTATCTCATTAAATTGAGCCCCTATCATTTCTCATCATACCTGCAGACCAAGACTTATTGATTATCAATTTGTAGTGTGATTATCAATTTGTTGGAGGTAGCGACTGTGGGGGCGGATGTAACCTAACCAGGATGGTACGCAGGCTAATAAGACATTTCCCCCACACACATACAGATGGTTACCAGAATGTCCTGGGACACCCTGAAACTAAAACCCCTACAAACTTTTCAAGATTTACAGTAGTCTAGTTTTGTGTTGCCACAAACCTAAAAAAACTGTAAATTTCATCACACACACATTCACAGTGACCATCTGCAGCAGTTTGTTTGTGACAGATTTCTTTGTTTCCCCCACTCATACAGGTGGTTATCAGAAAGTCCTGGGTCAGCAGGAGTATGAGCAGCTGTACCCGCTGTCAGGGATCCCCTGTAACCCCCATCTCTTCAGCTTCACCCTGCTCTTCACCCTCATCCGGCATCTCTGCGGGCCGCGGGACGCCGGCTGGCCGGGGTGGGACCGCGCCCCCCTCATCACCGAGAAGTCCCCGGAGTACGACGTGATCCGGCTGAGGCAGTTCCGGGACGTCCTGTACTCGCACCTCCCGCGGGGCGACGTGCGCGGGCCGGTCTTCGCGAAGTGGTGGACGTACCTGTCCGCCGTGCTGATCCGGCTGGGGCTGAGGGAGGCGGAGATCGAGAGGTTCAGGCTGGAGGTGGAAGTCGTGGACGAGGACACGGTAAAGTTTCTCGCGGAGATGCAGAGGCAGTACCGGGAGGAGAGGGAGACCCCTGCGTGTGAGAAGGATTACGCAAACATCGACGTGAGGCTGAAGCCTGCGGAGGATGGGGAAATAGACAGGGTTTTCGACAGCGCGAGATACACCGGACGATACTGATGTCATACATACTGATGGCAATATTGTACATGTACATTATGAAAACACTATGAAAATAAAACTGCTATGGACATGAGCACACGCACACGCACGCACGCACAAACACACGCACACACACACACTGTCCGCGGTGCTGATCTGGCTTGGGCTCCGGAAGGCGGAGATCGAGAGGTTCAGACTGGAGGTGCAAGTCGTGGACGAGGACACGGTTAAGTTCCTCGCGGAGATGCAGAGACAGTACCGGGAGGAGAGGGAGACCCCCGCCGGCGAGAAGGATTATGCAAACATCGATGTGAGACTGAAACCTGCGGAGGACGGGGAAGTAGACAGGGTTCTCGACAGCGCGAGATACACTGGAAGATACTGATGTCATATGGACGGAAGATTGTGTGGGTGATCATCACTAGGAAGCTTTAAACAACTCATCCTGCAATTGAATGTGCAAAGATTGGGTGTAACTGTGGGCATCATACCAGGTTGTTCGGTGTGATATAGCTAGCTGCTGCCGCGCCGCGTGCCTGCAAAACTGGTGTGTTACGCGGAAGGGCAGTTATACCAGCTATATTGATACAGATATTGTACATGTATGTTATGAGCGGTAACTCCTATGTTCTCTGAATAAGAAGAGCAAAGACAGCTAGAACATAGTCACATTCATCAAAGGTTGTTGTACAAGTATGTACAATTAAATCCCTGGCAAGGGTCTAAGACAGTCTGTTCCATAATAAATACGACACCCCCTGGTCAAGGTGTCAAGACTACCAGCCAAGTTTACAACTACATTGTATATAGTAGAAATAAATATGTTCTCATTGATACGGTGTAAATAAAAACTGGTGATTTCTTACAAGTGTTTCTGTCATTCTTCTGGTGTCCAAATCTTGTGTTAGACTTTACAACTTCAATTCAAAACAAGACTATACGCCAAAAAGCAGTTACTCAAGCAAATGGATATGATTTTGAAAACATCAGACGTTTCAGCTAGTATCCACTAGCTTTCGTCAGTGACTGAGAGACCAGAGGGGAAAACAATTTCTAAAAATTTGTCTTCACTTTATTTGCATATCAATCAATAGGTTGTGCTTATAAACCTGTTTTCCCCTCTGGTCTCTCAGTCACTGACGAAAGCTAGTGGATACTGAAACGTCTGACGTTTTCAAAATCATATCCATTTGCTTGAGTAACTGCATTATGGCGTATCGTATTACCTGGATGTCTAACCTTCATCGACAAAACAAGACTAGTCCAAATTTTGTGTTGGACTTTAATGTACAACACTAGTCCAAAACTAGTGTTAGAAATTGCAACTTTGGTAGTAGTCTTTTATAATTTTCTCTACATCATCTCTTTTCATCAATATGTTCTGTTGTATAGTATCTGTCCAGTGCCTCTCTCTGACCCCTGGCCAGGGTTATATGTGGGCGTTTCTCCTTGATGTAAAGATGGGCTTCCTCTGGTGTCCAGCCATGGACCTGTGGTTACAGGAACATAAGATACATTGTAAATACATGTACATGTACATGACATTTGTGAATGCTTACATTTTAAAGTGATTTTAGGAGAAATGAGATTCTGCAGTAGAGTAGACATAGAATTAGAAAACACCTATTTGCTGTGTCATGCTCTTACAGTAAAGAGGTCATTGAAAACACTATGAAAATAAACCCCTGTGAACATGAACACATGCACAAACACACACACACATGCACGCACAAACACACATACATGTACACACATTCACATGCACACATTCACAAACACACATACTCAGTGATACCTAATTGTACATACCTACTACATTGTAGTACCTAGTCCTTTGACCGACCTGGTCATTGGGGGACATACTCATTGAAACACACAAACACACACACTAACCTGCATCAGATAACATGCCACCAGTGTAGCGCTCCTCCTCCTCCCAGCCTTACAGTGTACATACACAGTGTTACCCTGTTCCCGATGTCTCAGTAAGAACAGAACTCCCAGCTTCAAGTGCTCATGGGTCGGCACGCCAGTCAGGTCTATGGTACTGAGCCTGAGCTGCTCAACACCTGTATGTGACCACTCCTACGAAATATACAAAGTACAAATATACATTTTACAAGCAAAAATTGCACCTGTCTTGAACTGTTTTGAACATAAATCAAACAAAATTCAACACAAGATTAAGTGGTCATGGGTTCAATTCCTGGCATTCCTGGCAAGATGTTGTGTCTTTGGGAAATACATAACTTTACATGACTAGCAAACCTAGGATTGGATTGGATCTTTATCATACAACTGGCAGACACATCAATCTGAATTTTGCTCATATCTTTTACAAAGACTGGCTCCACAAAAATTACATAGAAGATTATATTGTCAATTATCAACACACAAAGTCAGGTTTTTGAAAGAGTACTTTTAGTCTTACCTCCACAAAAATTACATAGAAGATTATATTGTCAATTATCAACACACAAAGTCAGGTTTTTGAAAGAGTACTTTTAGTCTTACCTCCATTGAGTTTGTAAAGCGTTTGAGTTCAAAATCTTCGTTCATGGTCACCACAGCCTTCACACCTTCTTGTTGCACCAGCTGTGCACAGATATGGAAATAACAGGACCCAAGAATCAGCTTGCAACAAAACATATTTTGGGTTTTTGTGAATTCATTGCAATTGGAACAACCAAGGAAATTGTACATGCGTATGTGTTATGTTAAACATTACATGCCGTGCTGTGAGAGAGTACTAGGACAAAAACTGTGCAGGGTTGGAGGGTTGCTCATGCAATTTTTGGCTTCCTGAATTCCCCATTTGTTATTATCTCATCCCTGTCGTGGCCAGATTCTGGCATTTGAAAGTTCACCCCATTTCCCGTGCCTGACCTTATCCCACTTCCTGTGTCTGAACTTTTGACCAGTGTGTCATTCTGCCTGTCAATCGTCAAAACCACGCCCTGTGCTGACTACTAGTATCTACTCTGACCGGTCAAACATACACACAAACCCACAGAAAACGGCTCTCTCTGGTAACATAATCATCAACAGATATAATTTGACGATTTCTCACCGTATGTGTCATTGACCGGAAGGGCAGTGCCCCCAGCAGTACGGTGGCGTCTATCCTGTCGTACCATCTGCGTGACGTCACCTTCTCCATGGCGACGTTATACAGCAGTGTCGGGTAGAACAGGGTTCGTGCTAACAGGCCCGACATGGCGATCAAGGTCAAATACTAGTAACCCTCTCCACGGGTTAGTCCAGAATAAGCACAAGGGTTAAGGGCGTTTCGGTCGTAAAGTCATACGCAGTGGTCCACGTTTAAAATCCACACTGTTAGCTCAAAAAATATTATTCCTGACGAGATTTTTTTTCAGACCAAAGCTCCAGTACATTTCTATATGTCCCTGACGTATGTTCCATTCAAATAGTCGTCTGAATACCGTGTTAGGCTGCAAAAACAAGTAAAACGCGGGTGTCAACAAACCCGGGCGCCGCCATCTTTGATTTGGACCAGTTTACTCTATGAAGAAAAAGGGGGTACCAAAGTTTATTGGTAGTAAAAATAAAGTTTTTGTTGTACTTTTGTTGTACAAAAATTAGACTAAGATGTTATCTTATCATAACTATGTATTAAAAAAATTAACACATATATTATCTATGGATTTATTCTGCTCATACGTTGCAAAATGAAAACCATTTTTCGATAGCCCCCTCAAATCAATGAGTCAGCCCCGTTGGCTCCGAAAGGGATTGCATTTCACAAATCATCATCAAGATGACGACGAGAAAAATATGAAACGCCACAGGACGGAAAATACCGGCGTTTTGACCTCATATAAACTATGAATAGGTAAGAAACGACGTTGGTCAACAGTAAGAGAAGTTAGTATTTTGCTTATTTATTCAGAATATTCCAAGATGGAGGTATTTAGTAGAAAACACCACCGTTTAGTACAGACGCCGGTAGTGCATTATGCTTAGATTTTACAACTATTTTTATAGCCCTTACGTAAAAGAGCCTATCACAGCAAATACTCAATATTGTGCCAAGGATTCGGCCGCTATTTATGGATAAGAAGAAAGCAATGTGTTGACAACTATTAAGTATAAATGTGCAGACATTTGACCGACAAATTGGCACAGAAAGGGCAACAACAATCATGTAATATTAATTTGATACCCATATTTATCATATGGCTAGTTGTTATACGTCATTGTCAAGCCTACGTGAGAAGAATGAAAAATGTTACTGGGGGAAAGAGAACAGGAAAAGTTTTCAACCACTGCTTCAATATTAAATGCAAGTTGTAATTGCTATGAATTGAAATAGAATTTAATAAATACATAACGTTAAATGTATCCTAGTATTGTAGCCCTCACTCCTTGCATGAAGTGACTGTTTCACTTAACACTAAAACTGAATTTTGTATCTTGAATGTTATTTTATATTAATATTAGGTTTTTTTATACTTTCACAAGTTTCAGTCTGTGCCCGTACCTTAATGCAAAATATGCTTTAACGGTTAACCTTAGGTATATGTAGGTATTAATGTAGGTATAGATTTTTAAATGTTCATGATATGGCTTCGTAGTTATGCATATGTTCAGGAAATGCTCTACTACTGTGCAAGGTGGTTGTCTGTTTTCTTCAATTTAGTTTTCATAAGGGTAAGATGAAGATGAGTTCTTCTCTCTACCTGTTATTTAAGACCAATTTTGCAATTTGCAGGTGACTATATTACATTGACCCTCAATCATATCAGTGCATGTTTCATCATTCTTCACCACCAGATTTAGCACAGGGCAATCTGTTGTTTGAGAACACCACCTGGCAGGAGTGATTGGAACTGCAGGCAGCTGACAGGGAAGATGGCTGTATACCTGAAGTTTCCTGCCTTCATTAGAAGGTTGGTATAATATGATATAAGAAAAATTTCCAAGAACAAAATATAGTTTGTACAGGTAATATTGAGGCTTTGTAGGTATTTATGATCTCCACCTGCAACTAACTTCTACCAGGGCGGTTATACTGGCTATACAGATACAGAAGCTGGCGTGTTACACCAAAGGCCAGTTATACCGGCTATACAGGTACAGAAGCTAGTGTGTTACACCAAAGGGCGGTTATACCTGCTATACAGATACAGAAGCTAGTGTGTTACGCCGAAGGGCAGTTATACCGGCTATACAGATACAGAAGCTAGGATGTTACGCCAAAGGGCGGTTATACCGGCTATACAGATACAGAAGATGGTGTGTTACGCTGAAGGGCGGTTATACCGGCTATACAGACAGATACAGAAGCTAGGGTGTTACGCCAAAGGGTGGTTAGTACCTGCTATTCAGATACAGAATAACATTTTCTTTTGTCCACTCGTTGCAGATGGCATCAGCGTGTGAAGAGGAAAGTGCAGGAGTACAGGTACATCCTGGTCCTCACCTTCCAGTCTCTGTTCTGTAACGCCTTCCTGTCACCTTGGGTCATGTGGGACACACTCATGGAACCTCTGCTGTGGTTCGTGGAAAAAGTCGTCAAGGCGTTCGGCCCGGTGAGTAAAAAAAATCACTTGATCATATCATTGCTTGAGTAACTGTTTTTTGGCATATCTTATTACCTGGATGTCTAACCTTCACCGACACAACTCTTGATGGGTTTTTATATTTTGTAAATTACAATAATTATATATATATTATGTCCTACTTCAAGAGATAAGTCAATCCATGACGAGAATTTTACTCACCAGAATTTGTTACTTACTCGCCTGGTCTTCATCAGCTTTCTGACTCAAATTTAAGTCTAAGTCTAAAACTCAATCCATGTACAGGGTTGGACAAGTTTTCAAAAACCAACTTATCGGGCAAGTACATCATTTTTATGATTGTGTGAAAACACTTTTCGTTCGCTTAACATTCTCCTTTTCTAGGGTCAGACAGGAAACACAACATTTTTTTCCCTAGGCCTTGAGGGTCATGGAAGCCCTTAGCACTCTTCCAGTTTTTACTTAAAGCTTAACATTCTCCTCTCCTGCCCAGGTGTTTGTATTCGTGGTAGTCTCCCTGATCCTGAGCGTGATCGGTGTGGCCTGGCTGGTGTTCTTCCCCATCATGCGTGACCGTAGCTACGTGACCTTGACCTATCACCTCATCTTCGGCAACTGGCTGGCGGTCAACGTTCTCTTCCACTACTTCAAGGCCCTTCTGACCTCTCCGGGAAAGCCCCCTTCTGTAAGATATCTGATATGCTCCTACCTTACTACTCACTTTAACTTATAGTACATGTGTAAGGCTTCCCTTCTGACCTAGCCTCTAGTTGGAAGCCTCCTTTAGTTAAGTTTCTACCTTAGTTCTCAGTCTAAAGGCTTGTTGGTAACTTCATAGGTGGTGACTGTCAATACAGCTTATGAAAATCAACATACATGTATGGGTTTATATAGATGTGTATATAAACCTAGTACATTAACTGGTACATGTTAGTAGGTAAACATCAGAAATACCATTTACCTGCACCAACCTACATATGCAGGGGGTATTTTGAGCATGGAATTACTATTACTAACTTCTTATTTGTTCTCAAATTCGTTAAGAACACATTGTTATTTCTTTATTAGACTTCTCTATTGCACAATGCAGGGGGAGACATAACAGGTGATTGCTAAGCTCTGCTAGTTGTCTCCCCCGCAACAGACATGTATAAGATACAGAAACAACTAATAACAGACCTGAGTCAGCTTGCGGATGTGGTAGAAACGGACCGCAGAGACTATCATTCTAGTATAATAGGCCATAGCCAAAGCTGTAGGGCTGATATCAATTATGATTTTGCCATGAACAATATTGACCACTGGAAGCCATCATTCTTTATTACGCATGCCTTTCCAGAGACTGGATAGAGTAATATTACAGGGCATGAAATATAGAGTTAGCACATCGTGATTTCTGTGAATGCTGAAACTGCTTGACTCTCAAACTTGTGTGCCCCCCTCCCCAGGGTGACAGGTTGAACACAGAAGTGACCACCGTGTGTAAGAAGTGCATCTCCCCCAAACCTCCCCGCACACACCACTGCAGCGTATGTAAATGGTGAGAAATGCATCGGTTCTGCTGGACGTGGAAACCGTTTTCCTTTTTGGTTTTGAAAATTAGTATGGTCCTGCAGCTGAATGTTGCAATTTTATCTTTGCTGTACTTTATAACTGTGTGTAAGTGTAAAATTTGATTGTTTCCAAGTCATGTAACTTGATTTGTACTCAAGTATGTTTTTCTTTTACTGTGAAATAACTAAAAAACTCAGTCTTTTATATCTCTCTAAAATGCTTACCGGTATCACTTTTCTTGGCTTTGCCTTGAAACAAACTTTTTACAAGAAACTTAAGCCAGAAGTTTCACACAATAGAATTATCAGTAAAATGAACGTGCCGTGAAGTGATTTTGAAGTTCCCTTGAGAGTTAAAGCCAATGACTCTATGCCTTGGGTGTTTTATCAGAAGTTAGACTAAGGACTTTCATCTGATATTTTTGTCTTTTTTCTTTCAGCTGTGTCCTCAAGATGGATCACCACTGTCGTATCCTTTCATAGGAACCCGTCTTACGATGATTGATTCATCTCCGTAAAGCCCTTAAGGCTCAACTTTGTTCCTACTTGGAGCTTATTTTAAAAGGGTGTTTGCTTTTAGGATATTCATGCAGAGTCGCAGACACTTGGAGGCAAAGACCAGTCTTTTAATATTCGCCAAAGGGGTAGCCTGACTAAACCTCGCTTTTTGCCGGCTCCCTAGGCAGACTTTGTAGGGAGCCCACCGGAAATTGGGTTTCACGGGCTACCAAAGGGGCATCCTTTTTTAGATTTCCTGTTAACATTTGATATTATGAAAATATGAACACTAATGCAAGTTCAAGTCCCATAGAGAGTGTTCAGAACTATGCCCTTTATTGTACCCCTCTTTGGAGAGCATTAAAAGCAGATTCTATTAGTGGCACGGTCACATTCGTGATAGGTCACAGTAGGATCCTGATGTCTTAGAATTTCTTAGGTCATGTACAAACAACTTTGTGAGAAGTACGGCAAAGTTTTGTTGCTTTGCATAACCAGTAAGCTGCCTTAGTATTGTATAGTAGGTAGAAGCTGCATACGACTGATAGTAAGATTTTATCCAGTCACACTGGGATGGGCCACTATTCTTTTCGACAAATGTGATGGGATATATATCATGCTCAAGGTGTGGCTTTTCTCAAATGCGAGACCTTTGGCTTTATGTCCTGTCTGAGAGGAGATCCCTACTCAAGCCCAGAACCTTAAGATTCTAAGTCAACAACCCTAACTGCAAGACTGCATTGTTACATTGACAACATTGTGGGGTTGTGGGGCGTAATGGCAGATTATTCTGCTCAGAAGCAAGAGGTCCCGGGTTCGAGCCCTGCCAAGTCACCAACCTTGTGCCCTTGGGAAAGGCACTTACACGGCTTTCCTCACTTTGCTCAGGTGAACATGAGTTTGCCAGAATGATCATTACCATGATCGTGGGCATTAAAGGAAAACCACACCAAACCAAGCATTGCTACGAAAGTTTCCTTAACCCCACATATCCCAGCATGGCTGAACAACTGTGTGGGGCATTACAACCATCGCTACTTCTTCCTCTTCTGTGTCTACATCTTTGTGGGGTGTTGCTACGTCTGCTACAGCACATACGACGTCTTCTTGGACCACTTCCACAACTCCGAGGTATCATGGACTTTAACAGCTAGTGACTAATGAGCTAATGATGTATTCATGCATTTATTTTCTTAATTTTTTATTAATGACTGTATTGATGCTTACTAGATACAGTACATGTAAAAAAAAAGTTATTATGACTCTTGTCCGTGACCTCTACCCCTCCTCTTTGACCTTGTTGAAAAGCGGCCATGTAGACTGAACAAGCATTCGAAGCAAAATAAAGGCATGGACTTGACTTGACTTGTAATGTCAGCTGAGTGAAAACATGTGGACTTTCAATGTCAACCAGAAATCAGAGATTTCAGACTTCATAAAGTTTTAATACATAATTTTGTTGTTGTGTGCAAGATGTGCAGATATGTGAGAAAAAATCGTGTTCTTTTTCTGTTCCAGAAATATCTTTTCAGTGGCAAGTTTTCTCTGCTGTCACCACTGGATACTATCCAGGCTGCCGCAGTAAGATGTCATTTGTATTACATATGTACTTGTTATCGTACAAATAGATTTTGGTGTAACAATTGTTGTTGGTAGGCAGGCAAGAACTGGTATTGAATAGTCCAATCAGTACCAGGGACAGGTTAGTATTGCCCAATCAGCTGCAAGGAGTAAAATTGAAAAGGCCAATCAGCTGCAAGGAGTAAAATTGAATAGACCAATCAGCAGCAAGGAAAGAGTTCCTTTAGTAGCACGGTCAGAGATGGTACAGTCCAATTGGTTTGAAAGACATAGATTGTATTGTCTAATCAATGCCAAGGACAGACATAGACTAGTGTAATCAGTACCAAAAAGAGTGATTGGATAATCCTATCAGCACCAAGGACAGGGAAGCTATAGTCCATCCATTACCATGGAACAGGATGGTATTGTCCAATCAGTACCAAGGACAGGGATGATATTGTCCAATCAGTGCCAAAGACAGGGATGGTATTGTCCAATCAGCACCAAGGACAGGGAAGCTATAGTCCATCCATTACCATGGAACAGGATGGTATTGTCCAATCAGTACCAAGGACAGGGATGATATTGTCCAATCAGTGCCAAAGACAGGGATGGTATTGTCCAATCAGTACCAAGGACAGGGATAGTATTGTCCAATCAGTACCAAGGACAGGGATGATATTGTCCAATCAGCACCAAGGACAGGGATGGTATTGTCCAATCAGTACCAAGGACAGGGATGATATTGTCCAATCAGTACCAAGGACAGGGATGGTATTGTCCAATCAGCACCAAGGACAGGGATGGTCTTGTCCAATCATTACCAAGGACAGGGATGGCATTGTCCAGTCAGTACCAAGGACAGAGAATGAATAGACCAATCAGTGCCTTGGACAGAGATTGAATATACCAATCATTACCAAGGACAGGGATGGCATTGTCCTATCAGTACCATGGACAAGGACGGCATCAGCCAATCAGTACCAAGGGCAGGGATAGAATAGCCAAATTGTAGACAAAGACAGTATAGACCAGTGATGGTTTGTCCTTACATACTGTACAACATAGACAGTTTTTCTCTTCCCTGTGCAGCTCCAGTTACGTCAGCCGCAGGGCCAGGACACCGCGGTACCTGAGCTTGCCTTCCCAGCTAACCAGACACTCGTGCAGGAGCCGGTCACCATGTGGGAGAAGGCTCAGCACAACCTCATTATCTACCTCTTCTTCCTGTGCAGGTAGGTAACACATGTAGCAAGAGTAAGCACATCAGCAGAATGTACTTCACTTGAGCAAAACCCCTAGTTTTCTTTGGATTATTGGTCAACATTGCATCAGAATTTTGTCTATTGCGGACAATATTTTTACCGACATAACATTTGGAAACTGCATACGGGATGTCAACCTTATATGTGCAAATACAATCTTATATGAGACGTTATGCCAAAGTGCTATGCACAATACATTATGGGTTTCACACAGGTGCAGTACATTCTGCTGATAGTAGCACATGTAGCAGATGTGGGATTGTCCAATCAGCACTGGGGACGGTCTTGCAGTAATCCAGATTGAATAGACCAATCAGCACCAAGGACAGGGACTGTATCAGCCAATCAGCACCAAGGACAGGGAAGGGGACAGTATCAGCCAATCAGCACCAAGGACAGGGGACAGTATCAGCCAATCAGTACCAAGGACGGGGGACAGTATCAGCCAATCAGTACCAAGGACAGAGGACAGTATCAGCCAATCAGCACCAAGGACAGGGGACAGTATCAGCCAATCAGTACCAAGGACGGGGGACAGTATCAGCCAATCAGCACCAAGGACAGGGGACAGTATCAGCCAATCAGTACCAAGGACGGGGGACAGTATCAGCCAATCAGTACCAAGGACAGAGGACAGTATCAGCCAATCAGCACCAAGGACAGGGGACAGTATCAGCCAATCAGTACAAAGGACGGGGGACAGTATCAGCCAATCAGTACCATGGACAGGGATGTTATAGCACAGTTGCTAAATAAGTTGGGAAATGGGTACTTGACTTCAGCTTGGATGTAATAAAACGCAGTGCCCTAGACACGGTGCATTAACAACTCACTGCCCCTATGGACTGATTAAAGCTACGAGACTTTTACCTTTAGTCACTAGCTTACATCAAATTTCTGCAGTGGTGCAGGTGTGGGTTTAGGGGGCGTGTCAGTGTGGCATGCCAGGCTCATCACACAGGGACAGACTAGTGTACCCCTTCCTCTTACCAGTTTTATCTTGACTAGTGCACCCCTTCAGTTTTATATTGACTGGTGCATTAATATTTCCCCAGTGGTGCAGGTGCGGCTGTGGGGGGTCTATCAGTGTGGCATGCCAGGCTCATCACACAGGGACAGACCAGTATAGAGGTCCACATCAACAAGAAGGAAAACAAAAGGGCTCAGAAGAAGGGTCAGGTAGGTGATGCTTACATAACGTAAGAGGTCGAAGATCTCATACCTCCATCACACAAATGATACTTTCCATATATTGTCAAGTCATGTCCAACTCTCGTATCTGTCTTTATAGGTCATTTTCTTTATACTTCATTCCATAAGCAAGACAAAATCGCCCATACATGACTATATTGTTAGCCTGGTTACCAAACCTATTATAGCTCCCGAGTGCTTGCGGAGAGGATGTAGGACTCGGGAGCTATAATAGGTTTGGTAACCAGGCTATATATTGTACCTCATATATTGTTATTGATAATAGTTTGTAGCTATTATAATTGTAAGATAGACTTAGTCTCGTAGTATTGTTGTCCTACTGCCATACATTATACCATGTACAATTGTTGAGCAATGAAGTTCATCCATATTTTCTTGTATACCTTGTTTGGTTTCAGTCATTAATTACACAAATAAAGTATATTTTACACTGTCCAAACAAACAGACACACAAACTCACAGCTCAGCCACCAAAAACAATACATTTGTATTTCTGTACCCAGATTGCAGTTGGAAAAAAAAGGCATCAGATCATAACTTCCCAGTCTACAAGTCTACAACTTTTTGCAAGTAGTTACAGAAGAAAGTGCGTGTTGTGTGTTTCCATAGAACATTTGTCTTAGCTGCTATTTAAGTGTTTTACTCTAATAGTTGATCCTAACAGTACACCCTCTGGGATGTTCAAGCTATCAATTGTATTCTTCAAAAGCTCAGGGCAGTTTTGGTTATTCTTATCTCTGTCTTTTTGTCGCAGGTGTTCAGAAACCCTTACGACTACGGCCCCAGGAAAAACTGGAAACTGTTTCTTGGCCTAACAAATGGAAGGTAAGTCCCAGGTCATTTGTCATATGGCTATCATTTCTCTTAATACCAGTCTTAGTGTGAAGAGTCAACTTAGATTGCTATCATAATCGTTTTTCTTATGATCCAATCTACGCTTTGTCGCACGTACTGGCCAAGAATATAGCTTTCCTGTGGCTTGAAGGGAAAATTTGAAATTTGTCTGTGAAAGAATTGCTGAAGTTTGTACTATCTGATATTTCCCTTTTACATCTAATGCATTTTTTAAGGGGAAGGTTTTTTGTGTCAGTTTGAAGTTCAAGGAAGTACTTACTAGATTTCTATTATTATTTGTACCTTTATTTTCATGATAACAGAAAGTTCTCTATTGTGATATATAATCATAAAGACAGAGACATAATAAAATTTTTTTTTTACATTGGAACAGTTTACGATATTGACAATGATTTCATTTCTGATGCATCAGATTTTATCTGTTTCCCAGCTGTTGTGTACTTTTTGTTGTCTGACAAAATGTAATCATGCTTTGTCCTGTGTACATGTACATGTATGCTGGGCCCCATCAGAAATCATCTCCAACAGGCTGAATGTGCTACCCAACTGTTTTATGATGAAATAGAATAGATCAACAAAATAAAAATGCAAACTTGATGGGTTGCCATTTGGTTTACAGAGCAATCACCTTCATTGTAGGTTGATATTGGCACTGTTACATTTTCTAGCAGGCTATAACAAAACCAACTGCTGGCAAGGATCTAATTCTAAGATAGTTTTTTTAACAAAACAGCTGAAATTTGTAATGCATGTCCCAAGAATACCTTCAGTTTGCGATTGTACGATGCTGATATGAGGAATGTCACCAGGCCCTAAATTGGTTGGTATCACATGGCAAACTTCTAATCTCCAAGCAGATCTTTCGGTGGCTGAGTTACAAATTGTCAAGACAGTATCAAATTGTCAAGACAGTATCCAATATGCTACCCAAGCTGGTTTAAAAAAATCATACAAGTATACAATAAAGAAAGCCCAATAAAAATGCCTAAAACATGCCAAAAATAAGCTGAAGAATTATGTTTAAGTAGATGTTCACCAGGTATGTAGTATTTTTGGCGTGCTCGCTGCAAAGATATCTGTTATAGATACCAAAAGGAAAAATTATACCACGATTTTCCACAGGTCATGGAGGCACATTTTATTCCCGTCTTCACACCCCCCAATGGGAGATGGTCTCACCTGGCACAATCCACAAGACTATGGCAGAAGGGTGCTACCAATCTGAGAACGGGGGGACAAGGCTCTGTGGATATTGTAAGAAGTTCAGAAAACGGGAGGGAACTTTTTAATAAGAAGAGATCTGGCTAAAGGCATCTGTATGTAATACTATGTATCTGCCTGTATATTTAGAAAATGTGTGCAAAAATTGTCATTTGATTCTATGATAATAATTCATGGTACATAAGCACTATTTTTGCAATTGTCTGAATCACATATAAAAATTAATGTATAATTTATTGATCCGTAAAAATTGCTGCACATGGATATTAAACAAAAAAGTTGTGATTAATAGATGTAGACATTAGTACTTTTTTTTACTTTTTTTTTACATTTTTGTATGCAATATGACAAGTATATGTTTTAAAGGCCAGTTTACATCAGTGTTAGCTTATAGAGAATCTGTATCATGGCCCTTTCATTTTCCATCAAAATGCACTTTGACCCTTTTGTTTTTATAGTTTTGTTATAGCCACCATTGGAAAAAAAATTGTGCTGGTGTCATTGTCTTCAATGAGAATGATGGTTAAATCCAGGATATATAATTTTTCAGAAAGAAATTTGATAGGTTGATACTTGTGAAAAACATCAAAACTACAATCTGGCTGAAACACACATTGATGAATGCAGTACTAGTATTACTGTTTAACGTGACATTCTAAGCAGGTATTTGAAATTGTATTTATCTTTTGTACATGTTTAAACATGGTAACATTACAGTCAGTAGATTGTTGAAAACTTCCACAATATTTACCTTAGCATTCAAAGTTCACACATGTAACATGATGGAAGGGTTTTACTTCTTTCCCAACACAAAATGCTGGTCAGAAATTTAGCGAGACCACTCGTTTTGTAACGGAATTTGAGTTAAATTCTTTTCCATGTCACACCATACTTTACTGTTATTAATTTTATATTATCAGCACCAGGAGGGTTAATATGAAATATGAATCATGACAGGTATATCTAAGTAGGTAGTAAAGTACTACTATCAAACAGCAGATTAAAAATCATGAAAATCTGATATTTTTTAAAAGACTTTCAAATCAAAAGCATCCTTTTGCCAGAGCTTCTAGATAACATAGACTTGGCAATGTGACAGGGATGTCAATTGAATTTTTGCAGTAGTTTTATTTTATGGTAGGAGGGAATGGGAGTTTTTCACAGTGTTTCAATTTTGCAGGGAAAACAATTCTGTAGTACAGTAGTCATACTGTGTCTTGAATTTGTGGTGCAGAGGTCACTGCAAAAAGTGCAAAAATAAAATCACTGCAAAAGTTGTACATTTTACAGTCCTGCTACAGTAGTGCATGTACATTTGTGTACAATTGGCAATATTTGTATGTTATTATGTCATACATAAGCTAAGTGTCGCAGTTAAAATACTATTCTTTGTCTTTGTTTAGGAAGAGTTTATTTCAGAGATGAATGGTTATTGTGATAGACTAAGTATAATGTTCTAAGTTTGGTCTGTGAAACCTATTGTTACTGTATATGTTATGATTGCAATGGTACCTATTCTGCAATATGTAAGCAAAGTGTTAGTTGTGCTGCATGATTAAGTGTTGATTTGTGCCATCCTCAGTCTTGAACAGGTTAATTTGTATCAAAACTTTGTACTTCCAGTAGTTAAACGTTAAACGTGCATGTACATCTTTGTGCCATATTGGTTTTGTAAGTGCGGAAAGTTGTGCCGGACTGTTGGTTACAATTTGTGCAATAATGTTTTCTGGATTGTTTGTTCTTGTTTTAATAAGTGTGCTTTACAGAACCATATCTGACAATGTGCATCAAAGGTACCATACATATGATAGAAATATAACATTCCAGGTCAGACTTTCTGAGTAGACGTCAGAAGAAACAACTAGGTAATGATAACAGAAATGTATTTTATTTCTTTTATGATCGAAAGTACATCAATACTCTTACCAGCATACCTGCAGGCTAGTAAATGAAGACATTGTCAAAAACGCTGCATGGACAAACAGCCAACATTGGGACATGAAAAGGCAATATACTTTTGTATTGTTATAAAAGCATGCTGCAGTTATTCTGGCTATTAGGTGTAGTTTTAACATTTACTGTAGATATTAAATGAGTTCTTGTAGTCTCCTCTGTTTGTTTGCAAGTATGTATTGCACAAAAAGTCCACTTTTAGACAATTTTGGAAAAAAAAACTTGCCTCTTGGTAGAGATTTGATTGCCCGAAAGATTGCTTCTTTTTGGCGACGCCTCAGGGCCGTAGCCAATTGATGTACTGCTAAGACTGACAGTAACTTGTCCTGACGAGTACAGTTGTGTATTTGGACTCATTGTGTATTTTTATATTATTGTACATGGCATTTCTTCTGTTATGTCCAAATTTTATGTTACTATGTTAATAAACTATGAGCATGCTACTCTTTAGTAATGTATTTGATTTGCTTCCCTGGAATTTTTGATTAAAGAATATGAAAAGAAATACAAGAAAGCGATGGCGACGCACTAAAGTTAATAACTTGACTTGTCCACACTGTAGACCGAGATCCTGATTCACAATTAGAAGTTCAACCAATGAGAGAATGGTGTCAATCAGTGGTTAAGTTTGACCAACCAAAGAGTTGCAGCATGTCTGTTGAATATTTGAATTTCTCCTTTTTTTTCTTTTTTTCTTTTTTGGTTGCATTTCTACGTTTTGGCGGAGTTGGATGTTTTTCTAACTTGTTATGTCAGTTACGTCTTTGAACCACGACCAACTGCTGTTAATTTTGAGCATTTAAGCGAAAAGTTATAACATTACATGTAATATGAATTATCTTACGAACGAATTTCTGTCCTTTGTTTTGGTCTGTTCTCTTAAAATAGCACTGATTCTGCATCACCGGTGCGTTACCTCTTCAAGCTTTAAGCTTGAATGACATCTTAAGAACCAGGAGAGTTCCTATCAAGGAGTGAAAAGGTCGCCATGGAAACCAAGACGTCTTAATAGAGCTGAAGAGGACTGGGAATGGTCCTTACTCCTTCAACAGTCCACACACTGGGCACGCCAACAATACATCCCCGATCAAGGACCGATTTATTTGTAGAACACTGTACGATCACAGTGAGGAGTAAGTCAGAGTTTGTGTGAGCGGAGGACCACGCTACCCTAAAGTTACTCCTAGATTTCTCTCTAAGAAACGAATTACTTCGAAATAAGGTATGCCTCCTCGTGTTGTCATGTTACTTCTGTATTTAAACTCGTGCCTAGAATTACAACACTCGGTATTACCTATACATTGCTCTATGGTGCTCAATACTTTGTTACTATTAATAGTGAAACTTAACATATCTAAAACATGTATGCCTCCCCCGTCTAACTCTCTTCACTGAATCACCGTCTGTCCGTGGGAGCGAGTGTAGATAGGCTTTCTCACTGAGATAATTGTGTAAAGGGCATTGGTTGCAAACGGGGCATCGAGAGGTGTCCTACATTGCCTGCTAGTAGTTCAGGCTTTGTACTTTGTAATACTTAGGTATTGAAATGTGTATTTGTATGCATGAAGGTTATAGGAGTCTTTTTCCACTCATTGTGAATGTGAACTCTTCTTTCTTTTTTTTTTTTCCTTTTCATGGTCCTGTCCATGAACTTTATTTACAAACTGTACAAACTTTTATATACAATACAATGTAATAGATATATGTTACATTATCAGGGGAATTAAGTTACCCCACTTTCTTTTTGCGTTTGTATCTGATATGTTATATTCTATGCATAGTATGTTTTTAAGATCCTTGTAAAATATTGAAAAGCAATTTATTTTATCAAAACATTCGTTCTCTTTATACACGATCCAGGACTTAAATATGGCATACAGGGCTAATGCAATCATGTGATTGCCTCCTTTGTACATTTTCTCAGTTCTTGGTATTCCCATTATGGGAATACAAGTTTCAAAATCAAGGTCAATCTTGACTAATACATTTAATAGTTTCTTGAACCTTTCCCAGAAGTTGCCCAATCTTATACAGTTGATAAACATGTGTTTTTCATCCTCTACTACTTTACAAATGTGGCACAATGGGGATGGTATTATTTTCCACCTATGTAAATTTTTGTTATTTGGAAGTATTCGATGGAGCAACTTAAACATGAAGTTTGATAATTTTCTTTCTGTTGTTAAATGTATAGTCATATCAATCCATGGAAGTTCAAAAGTTTGATAATTCTTATCAAAAATGACAGCCCATTTTTGTTCACTCTGTGGTTTGTCGATTTTATCGATAATTAGCATACTGTATAAGTATTTACATGTGTAGTTTGTGTATTTTAATCTTTGTTCTGTGCATTCTGTTGTTTGACATTGGGTGTCGTTCAGTAGTGCTAACCATCTTTTCGGAATTGCATTTTTAACGGTGTACATTTCAGCAAGCCAATTTTTTTTATCGTGTAGTTTGTTAAGTATCTGTAATTCGTTTATATGATTGTTATTATCTAACAGATCTCTTATGTATATTATTCCTGCGTCTATCCATTTCTTGTAGTATAATGATGCGTGTTTTCTTTTTCTTTGGATTTTTGTGACATAGCTAGACCCCCAAATAATATGATTTTTGACTTCGTTAGCTGTTACTGGTTCGGGTACGTTTCCGCCACCCGCTCGGTGCCAACTAAGTATGGCTTGCTTATAATATGGGGGTATGTGGTGTAGATTGGGAGAATTTGATCTATTTCTAAAATGCATTTTCAAGATTAGAAAGTCACTTCCAATGCTGTTTAGATAAAGACTTGGTATGATTTTCCAATCTCCTGATGTATTATCCATAAGACGTCTAATAATCCCAGCGTTTAATGCTTCGATTTGTGCTCTGATATCTATCATTTTTAGTCCGCCTTTGTCATAGTTTGCTATGGTAACCGATCTTCTTATTTTGTCTTTCTTCCCTGACCACAAAAATTGATAAAATAGACGGTGTAGTTTAACAATAACCTGTTCTGGGGCTAATAGAGCTGTAGCACAGTATGTTATTTGTGACATTATTAGAGTTTTTAATATATTTACCTTTCCATATAGAGTTAGCTTTCTGTTCTTCCATATGTTTAGCATGCTTTCTATTTTTGTAACCTTTTCATGCCAATTTCTTTCATTGCACTCTTTTTTATCATAACTGAAATAAATTCCTAAAGACTTGATTGGTGTTTGGGGTACGGAAATTCCGTGTATTTGTTTTTTCCTGAATTTCCAACAACCAAGCCAGATAGCTTGTGTCTTTCTAAGATTTAGTTCAGGTCCTGCAATTTTACTAAAGTAAGACAGTGTATCTATTGCAGTATGTACAGACTTTTCATTTCCTAATAACAATGTTGTATCATCCGCAACTTGAGAGATTTTTATTTCTTTTATGTTATCACCATCTACAATTTTAATTCCTAGCTAGTATTTCTTTGTTTTGATTTATATATAATGCTAGTATTTCCGTTACGAAAAGGAAAAGAATTGCGGATAGTGGACAGACTCTGATTTCTTTGTTGAGTGGCCTTGGTTAAATTTTGCAGTGGGGGGGGGGTAGTCGATCCAGAATCAAACGATTACGCTGAAAGAAGTGAGCGTACATGTGCTACTCGAATTGCCATCTGCTTGGGCCAGCATTTATTTCTATCAACGCACGATATCAGCAAAAATGGGATCAGATGCCTTCAGTTATTCATGACTATCACAGGAGGTGACATGACGTATTTTCCTTTTTTTTCCAGATCGCTCAAAACAAGAATGAAGCGGTCTGAGTCATCAGTAGCGCTACTCGCGGCTATCACTCTCCTGGCTGTTACAGGTAACTGCCCCATATGCATCATACGAGCATGAAATACTTTATCGTTATTTCCATAGCAAATGTTCCACGGAACTTCAATCACTTGTGCCCCCACGTCGAACTTTCTCGGCCATTTTCCCCATATGATCATAAATACTAGTATCCTGCAAGATCCAAAGACGGGGTGTCGTGGACCGTAGTAAGTCGCTCGGCCCCAAAGTAGAGCACTACAAGAGAACTCTCGCAGCAAACTTCTATAAGCTATCACCATCAATGTAGGCTATCACTCACTAAGCCCCGCAGGCTACATTCAACTATATTTAACATTCACGGCGTCTTTTAAGGTCTATCAAGATCTTTCTCTGCGCATACAGACTGGCGTCTGGTTGCCACGTCTACACACCCACTGCTGTCTTTCTAATACTTTCAAAGTCTTTGAAGAGTGATACTATAATGGTTTTACAACTTCAAAGCGTCTTTCAAGGCTTGGCAAAATGCCTGGCGCTTTGAGGCTTCAATCTTTGCATCAAGGACTGTCAACTTTTGCTATTAAACGCACGGTTGGCTATGCTGAAGCAAATTTAACTTTCTATCTATGGTGTCTTTTTTCAGGCTACCATGTCTACTCATCCATGACTTCCAAGGTCTTTCAAGACTGACACTATAATGACAACATAAAAGCGTCGTTCAAGGCCTAGAACGTGGCCATGAGGCTTTGAAATGGCTTCAATCTTCGCAACAAGGGCTGTCCACATTTGCTTGACGCACGCTTGGCTATGTTGAAGTAAATTCAACTTGCAATCTATGGCGTCGACGTCTGTCAATGTCTTTTTTTTTTTGCGTATGCAAACCCATGGCTTTCCTTCTAAGACTTTCAAGGTCTTTGAAGACTGACGCTAAAATGGTTTTACAACTTCAAGGCGTCGTTCAAGGTTTGGCGTAATGGCTGGCTTCAATTTTCGCAACAAGGACTACCCACATTTTTCTTAAGCATGCTTGGTTATGCTGACGTAAATTCAATTTCCAATCTATGGCGCCTTTCAGGGTCTTTTTTCTGCTTATACAGGCTGGCATCAGGCTGGCATCAGGCTCCCAAGTCTAAAAACCCAGGGCGTTCCTTCTAAGAGTAAGACTTTCAAGGTATTTCAAGACTGACATTATAATGGTTTTACAACTTCAAAGCCTCGTTCAAGATTTGTCGTAATGGCTAGCGTCAGGAGGCCTCAAATATTCGCACGCTTGGCTATGCTGAAGTAAATTTAACTTCCAATCTATGGCGTCTTTCAAGGCTGCGCATACAGGCTGGCGTTACTATCCCACATCTGCACACCCACTGCCTTATTTCTAAGACTTTCGAGGCCTTTCAAGACTGACACTATGATGGTTTTACAACTTCAAAGCCTCGTTCAAGGTTTTGGCGTAATGGCTGGCGTCAGGAGATTAGCTCTTCAATCTTGGCAACAAGCTTAAGAGTTGTCAACATCGGCTTACCCTGAAGTATATTCAGCGTCCAATCTATAGCGATAGCGTTTTCAATGTATTTTTCTGCTCATGTAGGCTGGCGTCAGTATCTCACATCTACACACCCACTGCTTTCTTTCTAATACTTTCGAGGTCTTTCAAGGACTACAGAGCACTATAAATTATGGTTTTACAACTTCAAAGTGTCGTTCAGGGCTTGGCCGTCATGGAGCTTTGAAATGGCTTCAATCTTCACAACAAGGACTACCCACATGTGCTTATGCACGCTTGGCTATGCTGAAGCAGTTTTAATTCCAATCTACGGTGTATTTCGAATTCAAGGTCTTTTTTCTGCGTGTATAGGCTGGCGTCAGGCTCCCATGTCTACACACCCACTGCTTTCTGTGTAATACTTTCAAGGTCTTTCAAGGCTGAAGGTATAATCATTTCAAAGTGTCGTTCAGGGCTTGGCCGTCATGGAGCTTTGAAATGGCTTCAATCTTCACAACAAGGGCTGTCCACATGTGCTTACGCGCGCTTGGCTATGCTGAAGTAGAGTTAATTCCCAATCTACGGCGTATTTTGAATTCAAGGTCTTTTTTTCTGCGTGTATAGGCTGCCGTCAGGATCCCACGTCTACACACCCACTGCTTTCTTTCTAAGACTTCTAAGATCTTTCAAGGCTGACACTATAATGGTTTTACAACTTCAAAACTTGGCGTCTCGAGGGTTTGAAATGGCTTCAATCTTCACAACTAGGACTACCCACATGTGCTTATGCACGCTTGGCTATTCTGAAGCAGTTTTAACTTCCAATCTACGGCGTATTTCAAGGTATTTTTCTGCGCATATAGGCTGAAGTCAGGCTCACACGTCTACACACCCACTGCATTCTGTGTAATACTTTCATGGTCTTTCAAGGCTGGCACTAAAATGGTTTTACAACTTCAAGGCGTCGTTCAAGGCTTGGCGTCAGGAGGCTTAAATTTTCGCAACCGAAGGACTACCCACATGTGCTTACGCACGCTTGGCTATTCTGAAGCAGTTTTAACTTCCAATCTACGGTGTATTTCGAATTCAAGGTCTTTTTTCTGCGTATGCATGCCGTCATGAGGCCTTGGGCATGGCTTTAATCTTCCAAACAGGGCCTGTCAACATTAGCTTACGCAGGCTTGGGTCCCACGATAGTGCTATTAGGAGTAATTGAATACTGGCAAGTCTTCGCACGTTCAAAGGAAGCTCACTGTCGCATATAAAGTTTGCTCGCATTTGCGGAAAGGTGTGATCGCAATTGCCAATACTGTCTTTATCAGGGAGAACTGATGTTTTGAGCTTTTAGAGTCAGTCAGCCAGTCGCTCACTCAGTCCCGTAGCTAAAAATGGTCCCTACACTTGAATGACTCAGCGCAACATTAAAGAAAGAGCGCCATCTCAAAACCCCATGGAAACAGGGTCTTAAAATACCTCTCCTTTTCAAGTGCTGGCGTGTTTTCCTTTGCCTTTATACAGTAATCGGTGCGTGACGCCCGTTCTGTATCTAAATCACTCACTCACTCACTGGGTCGAGCTTCCCTCGGTGCCAATGATAGCTCTCCATCTCTTCCTATCCTTCATTACTACCATCAGGTTTTTCCTGTCGAGCTGGGTGTCGTCCATTAATTGATTTATGTAGTTTCTTGCTGGACGACCACGACTTCTTTTTCCATGTGAGGGCTCCCACAGTATTAACTGGTTCATGATTTCATCCTCACTTCTGTAGCAGTGTCCGATGAACTTTCGTTTCCTTATTGTTTCGCTCACTGTGGGTAGCTTTTCGTATAGTACACTATTTGGTATCTTTTGGTACCAGACGAGTGTACATTTTTGACAATTCTAAGCATTTTGGTGTAGGTCCCGTTTAATCGTTTCTCTAGGGATTTCGTCAGGGTCCAACACTCTGCTCCGTATAGCAGTATACTCTCCACAGCTGCTCTGAAGAAGCCGACTTTGAGAGGTTGAGTCAGAATCTGAATAGCCGGCGGTATAATCGCCTTTCGGCGTAATACACCAGCTTTCACTTTACACTAGGAAATTGTTACTCAACCAACTGGATATAGATTTTGAAAACTGTCAGATGTTTCAAGTTGCCTCCACTGCTGACAAAAAGTTGCAGATACTACCTGAAGTCTCTGACAGTTTTCAACATCTATCCAGCTGCTTGAGTAATAATTTCCTTGTGTATCTCACTACCTGGAGCGGGATGTCTATTCATTGACGTCCGTTAACTTTCTTGTTCTGCGAAGAATGAGCGATAACGCTATCGCTTTCTGATGAACACAGGCTGTACCGTATACGAAACTATCACGGAAAGGGGAAAATTATAGATGATAACAAAACAATTCTTCCGCAATCGATCACTCAACATGTCACTATTTGACATATTTCCATCTTTTGATTGATCATGTGGCTCAGGTGTTACAATCCGCTTTATAAGATAAAGCGGATGTGTTATATAATTTTTCATTGTCAAAACGTTGGGGGACAAAAAAACCACCACTTCACATTGATCGCCCTTCCCTGGGGACGTTTTCTGGTATTAGGCCACAGCAAGTAATTTTTATGGATGACATCAGCGCGCGCATTAATTTTCGCCTGGTTTTGGAAAAAAAACACAATAAATTTTTTTGCCTTCTGACAGTGGTCAACATGCCAAAAATGGGCAAAGATGTCTGCTGCCATGTCGGAACGTGGATGGCAGATAACTATGAAGAGAGGAGACAAGAAAAGGCTCTGATTCAATGTTTTGTTTCTTACTTTGATGCAGTGATATGTGATGCTGGCTGTGTATATGTGATGATCCCACCGAATAAAAACCATTTGTACAATGATTGACTCAAAATTCTAAAATGTAGGAACCTTGTTTTTTCGGCCCGCCTGGTTTTTTTTCGCCCGCTCGCATTAGATTTGGAGTCTGCGGTGGATGTCATCCATAAAATTTACTTGCTGTGGCCTTACATGATACCTCTGGTATTACATGATGCCTTTTGTTATCTATGCATGGTGACATGTCGACGCCTCAGCCTAGCAGCCGTCTCGATCACAGACGCTGACAAATACCACTGAGGTAACGGTTGGCACAGATATTTCATTTGTGTCTGTCCCTACTGAGAGTTACAAGATCATGTGGGAGGGAGTTATAGAGCTTCATCAAATCAAATCAAACAGTTCTTAGACTGAATTGCGTTGATTGTACAATTTTGCCAATGATAAAAAAACACAGTACTGTTAAAAAGCAACATTTCATCAGTTAAAAAGATATTACATAATCGATTAATTAAATATTTTACTAAATATAGTAAAAGTACATGAACGACGTAATGGACACACAGAGATAAAAGTACGTGATGTGTATGAATGTAATGCGGACGACAAAAATTATGGGCCTGAGCCTGGGTTTTGAAGGTCTTTGATGGCCCTCGGAACAAAGGAGTGTTTGTGTCTGAGCTTAACAGGTTCCAGAGCGTTTCGGTGTTGCTAACATAACTCGACAGGTGTACGTGGAGAGTTGCTGGCGAGTCGTGGTTGTACCTGCGGGCCGGAGGAGAGGGAGGGCCCTCTTTTTTTTTATCAAACAACATAAAGAGTACAAAACACAGTGGTGGAAAATTACAACTAGTACTGTAGCAAATTGCTAATTTTAGTCTCACGACTGAAACAGAACAATACAAATCAAAAGCAAATAACATAAACATAACATAACATTGTGGGGTCGTGTGGCGTAGCGGCAGAGTGCGCGACTCGGAACCTAGAGGTCCCGGGTTCGAGTCCTGACAGGCCACCGATCTTGTGCCCCTGGGAAAGGCATTTTACACGACTTTCCTTCACTTCGCTCAGGTGAAAATGAGTATTGTATTGTCCCCTGTGTTAACGTTGGTGGCGGCATTAATATAAGTTTGAAAAACTTGAGTGTGCCGTCACCGCGTCTTGTGATTACATGTTGGAAATTATTTTTAAAAATAACATAACGTAACAAAACGGTAAGTGGATGTTCCAAAATATACAAAGATAAAAAGTGGTAAAAAAAGTCGATCAATATGTGAAATTGTAGGCGTTTAAACATTTAGGCAGGTATAAGCCGTTTTGTGTAGTTGAAAGCATCCAATGCGATTTCAAAGCAGCAAAACTGGAAATATGTCTCTTCTTGAATACTATCTATTAATAGATGGTGCCTATCTCAACCATTGTATATGTGATTGAACAGGCATATCTCTTCTACACAGAAGGTAACTCATAAATATCAAGTTTCAAGTTTCAAGTTTATTTATTTAACCAGGATATAACTCAGATCTACCGATCTGCTTTTCAGTTATTCCTGGGAACTCAAGCCAAGGTACATTTAAAAATACAGTATATCACAGAGAAAAAAAAATCACACTGACGTTACATTACATCACAATCAATTACATATAAATCACAGTGTGCACTGCTACAGTTACAGTCACATTCAGTAAACCGGTCCCTTCACAGTCTGGTTTTGAACACAGACGTTGATGTTATTTGCCGTTTGTCGTTTATCAAATGATGCAGGAAAAGATTTTGGTCCTCCAAGGCTAGAGGGATTATGTAACGTCACGCTTCAGAAATCGGCACGATCCGGAAATTACATGATATCATCAAAGACGTGAATTGTTTGCATACCGAATCTATTAAGGCCACACCGATTTAATTTTATGGATGACATCCTCTGAAGACCCCCAAACTAGTGCGCGCGGGCGAAAAAATAAAAATCCGGCCAAAAATAAAAATGCTACAAAACCACAGGAATACAAACCTGGTATTGTGAATTTGGCGCAGTACATAGCGACGTATACGACAGGCCGACACATGCTAGATTTTTGCGGAATATATGAATCGACACTGCTGTACGTATGTACTGAGTTCTTGAGTCTTGGAGCTTCGGTACCCTGGCTGCCGTCAACCAGAGTTATCACCACCATGCACTACCCAGGCCTAAAGCCAGGCCAGAGCCTCGGAATACGTGATCTTTTTTTTTTTTTTTTTTTTTGAGATCGGGCGAAAATCAATGCGCGCGCGGATGTCATCCATAAAATTAAATCGGCGTGGCCTAATCAGTTTCTGTCCGAAAGTCCTTATCACACATACAATCATGCTAAAATCGAGACACCGAAAACTTGCAGCAAAATGAGAATACTAACAAATGTAGACTTTGTGTGAAGCTTGATTGCCCATGCAAGTTCCCACTTAGCGTCAACTGGCCCGTGCAGAACAGTTATACCTCTTTCACACTTTAGTCGGAATGAGACGGAATGCCGTCTGAATTGAAATTCTTTGTATATTACTGTATATTTTAATCGCATTTTCGGAATAGGTCTCCCTGCATTCCAAAGATCTTTGAATTGTGGCTGGTCCGAATGCATTTTCTCATGGTCATGCTCAAACTTTCAAGCTTGAGATGAATTTGAAGTCCGACGTACGACTGCGAGTGTGACTGGGGCTTATGTTTTTATATGGCATTCAAAATGTATTCCAACTGCAATATGATTGCATTCTGGATATTCCTACAGTGTTCGAAATATTCTGATCGCATTCAATGGAGTACCGAAAAGGGTCTGAATATTTGGAATACACCTCGAAAAATACACTTCGAAAAATACACTTCGAATAGCAAGCAATTTCATTCAGACTATCCGGGCTCACTTAATTTTCCTTTATGTGAAGGAATGTTAGTTTTATAACCCGGGTTTCACCATTTTGGCGCGAAGTTTCCAATTCTTCATTCCGCCTGTTTCTGCTTGACGTCTGCTGATTCCGAAGTTTGCAAACGGAGCGGAGTCAAGTGTTGATATATTATAACCTCCATTAGCCCCGTTTACACATTATTACCACTTTAAGCTGTACTTAATTGCCTATTAGGAATGTCAGCGGGAGTCCTGTCATCATGGATTAGGCACTCGTCCTAACTGGCCGACTAGAGTTCGAAGATCGTATACCTCCACCAAATGGCAGTGTTGTTGTTCTGTACTAGTGTAAAGGACCCTGGTAAAGGACGTAACATTTCCCAGCATTAACACCTAATTTACATATGTAATTGATTTGCATATTTCAAGCGTTATGCAAATGACGTCCTTATTTGCATAAACTACATCAGGATTCTATGTCTGTTCAGATCAGTGTAGAGAATAGGGGGAGTTCCATGCTAGTGTCAACTATGTTTAATTGTCATTCACATTTAATTTACATATAGATATGTATATTGCATACGTTATGGAAATGATGTTCTTGATGAACTATATCAGGATTCTATATGTATGTTCAGACCAGTGTAGGTGCAGGTGGAAGCTCTGTGCTAGAGCCAACGACTTAACATTTTCCATCACTGACACCAATCCAATCATTATGCAAATAAAGTCCTAATTTGCAAGAACTATATCAGTTTTCTACATGTCTGTTCAGACCTGTGCAAGGGGCAGCTGGAAGTTCTGTGTAACATTTCCCTGACACCAATGCATGCGTTATGCAAATGAAAATTTGCATGAACTACTAGTACATTAGGATTCTATATCTCTGTTCAGACCCGTGCAGGGGGCAGGTGGACGTTCTGTGTAACATTTCCCTGACACCTGACATTTTACTGACACCAATGCATGCGTTAGGCAAATGAAGTCCTAATTTGCATGACCTACATCAGTTTTCTACATGTCTGTTCAGACCCGTGCAGGGGGCAGGTGGAAGTTTTGCGCTATAACCAAGGACATAACATTTCCCATCAGTGACACCAATGCTGCGTTATGCAAATGAAGTCCTAATTTGCATGACCTACATCAGTTTTCTACATGTCTGTTCAGACCAGTACAGGGGGCAGGTGGAAGTTCTGTGTAACATTTCCCTGACACCTGACATTTACTGACACCACTGCATGCGTTAGGCCATGTTGATTTGATTATATGGATGACATCCGCCGCGCAATTTGCATGAACTACTAGTACATTAGGATTCTATATCTCTGTTCAGCCCCGCGCAGGGGGCAGGTGGAAGTTCTGTGTAACATTTCCCTGACGCCTGACATTTACTGACACCAATGCTGCGTTATGCAAATTAAGTCCTAATTTGCATAAACTACATCAGATTCGATAAAGTTACTCTATATACCACATCTCCATACCGAAGTTCAGAACTGAAAGATTGAGAAAATATTTTCTATTTCAGGCAATAAGCCTCAGTAACCAAATAATAGACCACCTCTGTTTTAATGGACCGACCTACAAAATTTTAAATTTACTTAATTTTAATCGTCAATGTCGTACTTTTTAATGTGTATCTCTTTCAAGTTTTTTAATAAAAAATGTATGTAATCACTTGTGCAATTCACCCAACAATGCATATGGCTGCCAATCAGTGTGAATAAACAGTATCAGTAGTATCAGTTTCCTACATCTCTGTTCAGACCCGTGCAGGGGGCAGGTTGGAGACCTTCACCAGTTCCAAGGGTCCGTTCCGGGGTTTCCCTGTCTGTACTGCAGGAGCAGTCCTAACGGTGGCGGCGCAGACGCATGCGCAGAAGGATCCGTCAACGAGACCACCGAATGTCGCGTTGGGGAAGAGTGCTTTGTAAGTGGACTAGAATTATCTTGAGCAAAATGATGAGTTAAACACTCTATGAGAGCAAAACATAGTGCTGAGAAAAAACAACAAGTTTTTATTTCATATCTTTGTAATCTTTTCGAATATCACATAATATACACATTTATATAGACATTATAGACTCTTCTTTTGAAGAGCCTACATCCTCAGAGATTCATGATATTATTATTAACTTAAAAAATGCAGCCCCAGGCCATGACGAAATAAGCGCCACTGTACTAAAGCAGAATATCTCCTCCATTTTAGAACCAATTACTCATATTTTTAAACTATCTTTGTCCACTGGATCAATTCCATCTGAACTAAAAATGGCCAAAGTAATACCTCTGTATAAAGCTGGAGAACCTGACAACTTCACAAACTATAGACCAATATCTATACTACCCACATTTTCAAAAGTTTTAGAAAAACTGGTATATAAAAGGATTTCAAATCACCTAGAAACCAACAATATCCTTCACTCCAATCAATATGGATTCCGTAAAAAATTCTCTACGTATATGCCCCTTTTAAGCCTAATCGATAAAATAACTGAAGCTTTAGATAATAATGAGTACACCCTAGGTATATTTTTAGATCTTTCTAAAGCGTTTGATACTGTTGATCACACCATCTTACTGGACAAATTACACTTGTATGGCTTTCAAAGCACAACTCATAGCTGGCTCAAAGATTACCTTTCGAATAGAAAACAATATGTTAACAATGGCATCTACAAATCACGTCCTAATCCACTTCTATGTGGCGTTCCTCAAGGATCTATTCTGGGACCCTTGCTTTTTCTTATTTACATAAATGATTTGCCACTTGTTTCACAAAAATTATTTAGCCTTCTCTTTGCTGATGACACTAACTTATTTATATCTCATAAGAATCTTAATACTCTAATAACCACCGTAAACGAAGAACTAGATAAAGTAAACATGTGGTTCAAAACAAACAAATTATCTTTAAATGTCAAAAAACTAATTTTATCATTTTTACAGCTAAGAATAAGAAGTACCCGAAGGAAAATGTTAAGATATTAATGAACAACATCCGTATTACCCAAGTGACCCATACTCGCTTCTTAGGTGTCCTGATTGATAGCAAATTAACTTGGAAGAATCATATTGATCACGTATGTAAAAAGATTTATAAGAATATTGGGATAATACGGAGAATGAGCAATTTCTTATGCCATAAAATGTTTATTACCCTATATTACAGTCTTGTTTATCCCTATTTGACCTACTGCAACATTGTATGGGCATCTACGTACTCCACATCACTCAAACCTCTCTTTCTCCTTCAAAAACGGTACATTAGAATGACATTAAGAGCTTCCTTCACTACCCCTAGTGCCCCCTTATTTAAAAAGTTACAAATACTGACTATTTATGATATAAACCGACTTCAAACCTGCTTGCTAATGTTTAAAATAATAAGTAAATGTCCCTGTCTTCCTGAAACCTATTACAACACCTTCAGATTGAACTCAGATATCCATAGCTACAACACAAGACAAAGCAATTATATAAGGCCTATTACTGCAAAAACTAATCAGCGGCAATTCTCATTCATGTACAGGGGACCTACAGTCTGGAATAACCTAAACAAAACATTAAAGCTATGTCCATCTTTAAATATTTTCAAATCCCACGTCAAAGCTGATTTCATTAATGACTCCGCACTTTCCTAGATCATCTTTTCACATACTACGTTCTTATATATTATTACATTGTTTCATGTTCTTACTGATTGATTTACTAATTTGCCATATTTTCATTTGTTTGTAGCCAAACACATTGGTTTTGTTTGGTTCATGCATTGTTTGTTTACTTATGTTAAACCTGATCATTTTGTTTATATGACTGTTTTTGCTTATTTCTTTAATTGATTCATTATTTTGTTTCATTGATGTAAGAATATAATGTTAGTTCACATGGGGGGAGTTGTCATACAAGCCTGTGGCTTTTCCTCTACCCCTGCATGTTTATTTGTTTCTGTTATACTTATGTTTTGCAAATTTTGCTTTTACTTTGTATGTGCAATAAATAAAACAACAATAAAACAACAATATATATATTACAATGTTACAATAGCAATTGATCGATTTTCCAAACAAATGAATTCAATGACCAAAACCAGACGTCTGTCACCATTGTAACTAGTGTTGGATTACACCATGTTGCAATTTTATAAATTATAGCAGATTCCTGTCACCATACATATATGAATGTGTTTGAGTAAGAATTAACAGAGCACACCATATGTGAAGGTACATATTATGCTTTTTCTTTACATGTTACCTTTGTAGTTAATTAGAATATTTCAATTTTTGTTGTAAAAATGTTATATAATGGCCCTTTAATCCATCTCCAGTTGGAGGTGGTTCGCCCGGAGTCTGGCCCGGTGCAGATCGAGCGCGGCTGCCGGAACCCGTGCCGGTCCTCCCCGGCGGCGTGCTCGGACCTCTTCAACCCGGGAACCTGCACCCTCTGCTGCTCAGAGCGCATCAACGGCAGCTGCAATGCCTGGCGGTACGGAGAGGGTGTAGGGGGCGCTTCCCTGGCGGCACCGGGCGTTCTCTTGACGCTCGTGATCACAGGTCTGGCTGTCTTTACGGTCCTACAGTCAAAGGCCTGATACCGTGTTGTATCCAGAACCGTGTCTGTTTACTTTGAGCCTGAATGGGTTAGAGTTAGGATTGATAGGCACGGTTCTGGATAGCCCACGCGTATCCAGAACCGTGCCTACTGAGACAGATCTACGTTCTTGGATACGCGGAGACTATATCCAGAACAGTGCCTGATCCTAACCTTAACCCATTGAGGCACAAAAGTAAATAGACACAGTTCTAGATACAACATACCGCGTTCAGCGTTGACAATGATTTTTCCAAGTTTGACTGCACATTATATAGAAACGAGAGGGATTCCCTCTATACTTATGTAATAGATAAGTTCCCAAGCTTTAGACATTTAGATAGAATAGAAAAATTCGAATTCCTCATGAAACTTGACAAACCATGTATCATTAGCTCAATATGTTCGTACATCTTTAACTGCGTCAAGAAGCGAGAAGAAGCTGAACCTGTAAATAGTAGATCGCATTAGTTTATATAGTATGTAAGTGTCATTACTGTTTTCTTTTCCCTGTTTACCCATGACCTGTACTTAGCTCGTTAGAGCACAAGCGTACAATAAAGGTCTTTCATTCAGTTAAAGTGGTACATACTATAGCTTCACAGACACACTACTGTGTAAAGCAGATTTTGAAGATATTTCTTTGTTAAAAATGAAGAAAAAAAAACGCCGCTGGAATGTACTCCATTTAAAGAACTAAAATTCTTTAAAAACGCCATTTAAAGTTTCAAACTATGAATTGTGATTTTGTCTCTTCTGCTCATACAACTACATTATTTTACACAACAATCCTGTTTATTTACAAGAACTTTTTTCTTTAAACATGCCCCCCCCCTGCAAAGATACTATCGTTTGGCTGGCTACAACCAAGGCAGGCAATAGTGGTTTGTTCTAGATATATGAGATCTGGATTTCATTCTGTGTGGATAAGACGAGTAATTAAAACGAGAGTTCGAGTGAGCTCACATTTATTGAGTCTATTTGAAGGCAAGAACCACACGTTATTATTACAATGCGTCGGTGAAGAAGAGACATTCAAGTAATGCGATACAAAATATAACATTTGCGTTGACTACTTTTCGTCAGTGGCTGACAGAATCTCTAGTTGACAGGCTTTTTTTTATCCAAAAACTACGATCGTAAATGTAAATTAGGTAGCGACAAATTTTAGACAATACATGAGAAACATAGAATAATATGCACCAAACAATGTACATTCGTTCAGAAAATGTTAGAAGTTTACAATGTATACCTATGTACAACTTGTATGATGCTTCTAATGTGTATACTATTGCACAAGCCTCGCAATTCAGCCTTCTACAATGTACACCACGACTTGCAGGCCTAGGAGGAGGCCTGTGTGTCATGTTCTTGATACAGCAAATAAACCAGACTACAACACAATGTGGTACATCGTTGTTTGTCTCATCCGACTACTAGACTGAATAGAAGTGATCGTGGTGTGTGTGTGTGTGTGTGTGTGCGTGGTGTGTGTGTGTGTGTGTGTGTGTGTGTGTGTGTGTGTGTACTTGTGTGTTTGCATGTGTGTGTGTGCGTGTGTGTGTATACTTGTGTGTTTGCATGTGTGTGTGTGTGTGTGTGTGTGTGTGTGTGTGCGTGCGTGTATGTGTGTGTACTTATGTGTGTGGTGTGATTTATATGTTCGTCGAGGTATTCGGTAAGAGACATGTAACGCAATCTGACAAAAAAGCACAAACTTACTTATTTCTTCTTGTTACATGTCGATATATAGATAACCTATGCCACTTATGCTATACATGTTATATTTCACTCTAGTCCTGCCCACACAGAAATATTACAATTTGAAAACACCCGGCAGTGTTGTGTCGACCGACCGTTGCAATACGATATGATACAATATGATACAATATGACGGCCCGAATTTGTTCATTTATTCCTTTTGGCTTAAGATACAGGCTTCTCAACTAGCACGGGACTATTATATAGTGGAGCCTGGAGGGGACCTGTAGTCACCAGCCGACCGATGATGATCCTTCGCCAGGCCTCCGTCCGGGTGACTTGTAGTGAATCACCAACTTTCCAGGTTACAGGATTTGGACCATCGCACACCGGCATGTCCCTACTCCTTTCCGAAAGGTATCATCATCATCATCCACTGTGTTCTGCGTCTACAGTCGTATGGAAATGTCCCGTAGCCGCATTCAGTCTTTCTTCATCTCTTTCCAACGTGTCCTCTTCCTCGCGAGGTATGGTGGGTTCTTTAACGTGCGGGGGTGTGGATCTCAGGATAGGACGTCGTCTCGAATGAAATCATACCGTTGAGTCTGTCACCGTCAGCTCCTTCCCGTACTGCCGGGACCGGGAGTAGATGGACAGTTCCTGCAGGTGCGTGGCGCGGCGGCTGCCGTTGGACGTGCTGGCCGTGCTGCGGGCCGTGCTGTTCCCCGTGGTCGTGTTCAGCGGGTGGCGGCGGCTGGAGTTTCTGGTGGTGAAGCCGGCTTCCGTGCCGCGATCGGAGTCGCCGTCGCCATCGCAGAACGCCGTACGGAAGGCCTGACGGAACTTGGAGGACGTGAGGTTGTACAGGACGGGGTTGACGGTGGAGTTGATGAACACCATGACCCGGCAGAACGCCTGGAGCTTCCACAGAGCCGGTCCGCCCAGAACCTGGAACAAAGAACAAGTGTTTATTTCTATTTTATACAACGGTTATTCGTAGATACAGACTTATTACAGCGTTATGTTAATAGATAGAATTTAATATTTAGCGTTAGAATGTGTCATTGTTAGTGTTGAACTATTCTGTACTCATGTCTTACATGTACATGCTCTAGACCACATACGGTCACATGTGTATGTAGTCCATCTGGACAGGAATGTGCAATAAAGATTCAACTTACTTATAACCAAAGACCAGGCCTTTGAACTTTGACATGGACCATAGTAAAAGAACTTTGCAAGCTTAAAAAGATCAGAGATTTCAGACTTTCGGAAAGTATTTTGGGTTCTCTTGACCTGTTACAACATCACAGAGTTCCAAAGACAACCCGTGAAACCAGATCATCGCTCTCCATCGTCGCAATTGACCACCCTCCCACTTCCATGGGTTACTTTCAGAACAGAAGGCTAGAATCTTTCATTGCCACATTTAATGCAGTATATCTTTATTTGAATAAATGACATCATCACCGGAGTATCTGTATCTGTATCGATATAGCCGGCATAACCGCCCTTCGGCGTAACACACCAGCTTCACAGGCACGCGGCGTGGGCGGCAGCTAGCTATATCACACCGAACGACTTGTTACACCCAATCTTTGCACATTTGATTTCAGGAGTTGTTTAAAGCTTTCTAGTGATGATGCCCTGTGCTTGGTGGCCACGAGATCCAGTCTACGATAGTTCTGAGGAAATATGAGTAGGTTCTGGTCATCTGAAGATTGCTTACATGATGCTTACCAGTGAACTGCACTGATGTACTTCCGTACCTACCTGAAAGAGTGATTCCGGCGTTGCGTACATCATCACCATCAGGATCGTGCGGTACGGCAGCAGGCACAGGAAGAACACCACCACCACGGCCAGCAGCATGTACGTCACCTGTGGAATTTCATTTTGTATGTTTAAGTTAATAGATCATTTTTTTAGTTATCATGTATCATAATTTGATTTCTTGTTAATGTAATTACTATTATTTACTATTTCGTTCGGGGGAAGCTCGTGACTGAAAAACTACAAAGGTTTCAGGCCTCTCCCGGCATATTTGTCCATTTTTTAATTATTTGATTGTGTATTTCGTTGTATATGTGCATAAATATATACTGAACTTTATTTGCTTTCGCCTCATATGGGCCATGGCAAAAAAAAACACTAGTATATACATAAAAGTTATACATACAAATAAACATACAAACATAATAAAGAAACTAATTGAAGTAAATGCATACAGTTTATCAATCAACCAATGAATGAATCAACTAAAATGCCAGATAAAGAAAATTGTAAATCATAAAATAAGAAGAACATCTTGTAACAACTTATAAACCTTAGGTAAAAAAAAAAACAAGGAGAACAAACTGCAACATCCATTAATATAACAAGAACAATTCATGGCGTAAATGCAGATCAACAATAAAACATACATAGACAATAAGCAATAAACAAACAGACCTGGCGGATCCGAATTCTTGTTTGTCAATGTAAATACCATTATTTACTATTTCCTTTGGGGGAGGCTCGTGAAAAACTGCTAAGGTTTCAGGCCTCCCCCGGCAAATTTGTTATTTTTTAAAATTATTTGATTGTCTATTTAGTTGTATATGTTCAAAAATAGATAAGAAATGAAGAAACAGACCTGTCTGCGTGCCTGGAGCCGCAGCCGCGCCACGGAGCCCTGCCGGATGGACTGGTGCAGCTCGGGCTCGCGCAGGTTCCGGGAGATGACGACGTACAGCCCGGACAGGATCGCCAGCGGGGCGAAGTAGAACACCACGTTGCTTGCCGTGAGGTACAGCCTCCCGCCGAACGTGTCGATGTGCATCACGCAGTTGGCCGCCAGCTCCCCGTCGTCGCCGCGATCGTAGCTGAACTCGGTGACGAAGAAGACGGGGACGGCGGTGAGGAAGGCCGCGGCCCACAGCGCGCACATGACGCGCACGATGAAGCCGCCACTCAGCACGTGCTTGCAGCTCAGCGGCAGGCAGATGGCGTAGTACCGCTCCACGCCGATGGCGATGACGGTCAGCGTGGAGGCGTGGAACGTCGAGAACTCCATGTATGGGATGAAGTGGCCTGCAAAGGAAACAAAACTTTGTCATCGCTTGAAATTTCGGACTGCAAAGACATATTAGAGTACCCGTTGTTTTCTCTGTTCGGTATTGGTTTACTGCATACTGCTATTGACAGCAAACGTAAACTGCAGTGTCGATATTAGTTGATGAAGTAGCCTGCAAAGGAAACAAATTTTGTCATCTCTTCAAATTTTGGACAAGACAGATTAAAGTGCCGGTACATGAATCTGGAAGCCGTTGTTTTCTCTGGAAATTTAAGTTTGTTTAAAAATTTGACATCAATGAACTGCATATTGCCATTGGCATTGTTAGAAAACGTAAACTGCGTTGATGTTAGTTAATGATCAGAAGTATCCTGAAAAGGACACAAAACGTTGTCATAGGTTGGAATTTCGGACTGCACCTGTGCATGAATCTTGAAACAGTTGTTTTCCCTGGCAACTTTAATTTGTTTTTAAAAAATTCGACATCGGTGAGCTGCATACTGCCATTGCTAGCAAACGTAAGCTGCAGTGTCGATATTAGTTGATCAACTAGCCTGCGAAGGAAGCAAACTTTGTCATCGCTTGGAATTTCAGGCTGACCTGGTGACCATACTCAGTGGGTCGGCTTTGGGGTATTCCTGGTATCAATTTTATCTGTGTAGAAAATTTCCAAATTTCTTTGCGAATTTCGTCGCAAAAATGTCTAATATTGCCAGAGGACCCAGTAATCTAATCCGGTGCATACGGCAAGGACAATATGCATCCCACACATGTCAAGGTTTTGTAAAATGTCTTTGACGAATTTCCCGAAATTTCCTGTGGGCTCTGTAATTCGATTATATGTAGAAAGCTTCCGTTGAAAAGGACTCGGCCTCTTGTCTAACCTTCGGGACAACTGATGTGATTTGACATTACACTGGTCAATACGAAGACTGGCCTTGGACATTTCGTATGTTTGGTCTATACAATTTGTCTGATTATTGTGTATGTTCCTGGCCGCCAGGCGCCAGATCGAAGATATAATTGCTGTAAATGTCGCTACCAACAACAATGTGTTGGCTTCTCCAGGACACATCATCCGGTTAGCCAGTCTGAAGGTTGCGGATTCTGTTGTAATTTTTCAGGGTGCCCAAATAACAAGTTGCTCCCTGGGCACGCCTGACGCGTACATATATGTATATAGAGGGATTGAAATCTATTCTTTGGCAAACAAAATGAACAAGACTGGCAATGAAAACATACATTGCCATGGCGACGGTGGTTGCTGTTAGGGTTATTGCTTGCATGGCACTGCCATCATTTCATGATTTTGAGGAAGACTTGGTACCTGTTAAGTCTAGACAGATACAGTGCACTCCTCCCCTGAGTGTATAGTGAACGAGCCCTGGGGTCACAGAAAGTAGGGCCTTCCGGGACAGAGAGATCTTCCCAAGGGTTTCCAGGAATGTGGGCATAGATGCGGGTCAGAGACATGCCTGTGGACATTCCATGCCTGTGGACAAAATTCCTGTACAATTCCTAGAATTCTTGCAAACTGCACACAATACTGTACCATTAGGCTCCTCCCTGAGACGTCGCCAAAAACAACAACTTTAAATTAGAGTAACGTAGGGACCCGCCATAAGGTGTAATCTAGAACATGACCTTCGTCCCACCAACAGTAACTTGTCTATCATCCGAACAGCAGGATAACTCTTAAAAGAGTAACCCTGCTGTTCACAAGTTAAGAAACACAAGAAAAGGCCCACTGCAATAACGTAGGAACCTCCCGTAAGACCTATTCTCGAGGTTGACCTTTGTCTCCGCAAACAGTAACTTGCCTACCACCCATAGCTTTAAGAGTAACCCTGCTGTTCCACAAGCTAAGAAACACAAAAGGTCCACTGCAGTAACGTAAGAACCTCACATAACGCCTATTTTCGAAGTTGACCTTCATCTCCGGAGCTCCGCATTAGTAACTTGACAACCAAAAGTCATGAACATCCATCCACGGCTTAAGAGTTATGCCGTCTATATATAACTACAGCCACAGTTATCCCGCCATAGTCAAGATAAAAAGCATAACCTTCTAGCGGATAGGAAGGATAAGGCAAGGACGCATGTGCGCAAACATTATTCTGTGCCAACTATAATTGTGACAAAATATTTACACTATGGCCTCAAGATAATGTGGCCTGTACAAAAATTAATAGATTATGAAATGCCTGTATGTCAAGGGATTGTAATCTGTTCTTTGGCAAAAGAAAATTGTTTTTGCCCTTTGTGTAAACAGCAGTGTGGAAATAACAGGAGCACTGCGGCATCAAAAACGTGTCAGCTTTGTTCCATATGAATGACAAGTTGCCTCCTGGGAAGATGGACGTCTGTTTCCGTATGAACATCTTCTCTAATTTTCTGATCTGTTTGGATTTACGTCATGATATGTTTGACGTCCCGTTTTGTAGTATCTATCAATTGAAAACTGTAAGTGTACATGTCTGTGTATCGTGAGGTGGTGATTCAATTTTGTTTCGGTAAAATAAAATTAAAACTTAACTGATAGGGCAAGGTCGACGAAATGTGCGCAAAACGACACTCTGTTGTGAACAGCAATGGGGAATATATTCCCACAGTGGCCTCAAAAACGTGTCAATTAAATTTCAGGAGACAAATTATATTATTGTCGTCGCGGCAGTGACGTTAATACTGAATCAAAGTCGGCCCACGTCGTGGTTGAGTAATGGGTGACGTGCCCTGATGTACATAGCCTCTTTCACCCCTCTCAGATAGTAGTCTTGTTCGGTGTCCAATATCCTTAGTGTCCAGTGAAGCAGAAAGTGCAGGCTAGTCTATGTAGATCTGTTGTGAAACTTCTGAACTGACTCAACTCGGCCGTGAGTGCTCCATGAACCTTGCCTTTAAACCACCTCTCCGTTTCCCTCTAAGTAGGATTCCTGGCAGAGTCCATTGTTGTTATTCACTGCTACCAAACTTGTTATTGGGGGTTTTGTCTTTCGGTGCAGCAAGTAGGTGTAACAAGTAAAGTTGTGGCCCGTTTGAAGCAAGTTGTAATGCCATGGGAGTTGAAAACCCTTCTCTAAATCCTTGATGTTCGGAAGAACGCTCAGAAATTGGGTCTTTCCTGTTGAAAGCTTGGTGCTGGATGTTTTTGGACGTGTGGCTTTGTTGATAGCTCAAGGGGGGTTGCTGCAGTTTTTCAGTACTTGGGCCAGATGATTTTTCTCTCGTAGTCCAGTGGGTGTGAAATAATGGCACTGGCTCCATGGAAGAGATTTCTAATCACACCTAGCTTGGCTCGGCTACTTCGGAAGTTCTCACGACATATCATATGCAATACTATAGAATCGCCTGGACATTCTGTCTCATTGGACGAAGTACGACTCTTGGACACCGAATTAACCGGACTTTTTGCGCGAGGAATTAAATTTCACATGAACGTCAGATTTATACCCTGAAACTTGAAAGCGAAATACTAGCAGCAACTCTGTACGGTTGTTGCGTATTTAATACATTTCCAATTTCAATAATACTTTGAAGCGAGAACACATCCCATGGGCACGCCCGATCTCCTTTCACACTTCCAACACTCATCTGCTAATATTACAACGTTGTGTTATATCCCCACCTTTGGTCTGTCCTTTTCAGCAAGATAATTGCATGGTGCTATATAACATTTTCTGTACCAACAGGTCAAGTGGAAAAAACATTCCTGTTGGAGTGAAATGAAAAGAGAATGCCATGTGCCGCCGACTGACGATATTAAATTGTAAACGACGCAATATATCCCAGCCTTGCCGGCAGCTTGCCGCCAGCAGTGCTGGATTCACGCAGAGAACGACGACCTGACTGGTATCTCCAATCGTCTTCAATGTCTAGGCCACCACATCTGACCTTTCCAATCACGAATAGGATTTTCGTTTAATTGCCGACTGGAGAGGCCGCCTTCAGTCGTTCAATGTATAGGGATGGCATTTTGCAGTTTGCAAACTGCAATTTTTCCATCCCCATGAAGTAATTTCCTTCCACCAGTCGAATAAATTGGGACTTACCCCCAACCCCCACGCGACGAGCCGCAATTCATTCCAGTGTTAAATGACGTGAACCGACACAAATGAACTTTCATGCTTTCCCATTGATGTTCGCACGGATAGGGTCCATCCCAGTCCATCCAATAGTGTCACCTTATTCCCTCTACGTCCGTCGATTCAATTTCTCACTCTGATGCACACCAAGGTCTTACCAGAAGTGCCCAATAAATGCGTACTACAAAGAAGTACGTCAAGCGTCAAGCTGTGATAACAAAAATAAGGAATCGAAGCTGAGACGTTTGAAAATTAAGAACCAAACGTTGGTCAAGCTCGAATGACAACTTTTGATGCTATGAAGTCATGAGAAGCTATACTATATTGAACAATTTGCATTTTTATGTTGTTACTTTGTAAGTTTTGACGCAGGTGAGCAGATCTGTGCTCTGGGACACCGTGACTGATCATGAAGAATACGACAAGGAGACTGCGTCCTGTGCAAAGAAACATTATCTGCAATATTGAATTACGAGGTCTTTCGGGTCTTGAATGCATTTGTTAAGCCGTAACTAACATGTCAGAAGGAAGGACGCTCTAACAAGACGAATGATTGCACGGTTAGTAATGGGCATGCATCAAGAACAAAGATTACCAGAAACTATGGAAAATTTGGCCATTAATATTCCTTAAGACTTCCCACACATAACATGATGACTGACTTGGCATCACAGGTCCAGTAACAATGTGCAAGAATCTGCACGAGCGCAGGTTTCAGCATCAGACAGTCATCAATCATACATGGCTAGATTAGACTACGCTGTGCACGGCGGGTCTTCTTATGACCCTGTTAGTACGTCATGTAATGCCTTATTGACTAAATGACAGTCAACAGCCTCCAAAACTATTAAGTAAAGGACGGGAGGGGGTGGTAGCTAGCTAGACGGATCATCACCCGTACGTGTATCGAAATCATCGTCAACTGTTCCTACGGT